ATTAGTCGGGGCACGCAAGAGCCACCCCCATTACTTGGGACAAAGCATTAGAGAGCGGAAGGGATTCTGGGAAAGGATGTAAGCAATTTTCATTGTCCTCTGGGGTTCCTCCCCTCTCCTGGGCTTAGTCTTAATGTCACCCAGCGGTTTTTGAATGCCCTGTTCCGAACGTGCCCCCCCCCCTCACCAAGGATATGTGCAGTGTGCCAGCCTACGAAACATATTCAGAATAAAAGCGGTGCCTGCCAGAATGTCGCCGTGCCCCCAGAAGGGTGACGTTGCTTGTTCTATCCAGCAAACTCATGAGAACTGGAGAACGAGATTCAAGACGCAACGAACCCATTGAAAATTTCATAAAAGCCAAACCTCTATTGGTGGAAACAGCGTCGTTCCAACAGGTACATTCTCATCGATACGAAGTCGATAAATAGACTGAGGGAAGCGAATCGTTTGACTGGATACCAAGTTGATCGCCACCTAAACGAAAAACATTGCGCTAAAGTTGTAGCAGAGATAGAGAGAATCGAATCCGTACCCCGACATCCGAATAGAAATCAGGGTAGTCAAGATTCACGGCGCGAACAACAACGAATTGTGTGTCGTGATTGGCCGGTGTCTGTGCATAAGAAGCGCTCGCACTCAGTTCTCCCTGAAAGTCAGGCATCTCTTGACTTCTGTGAAAATATAAAAGCAATAACAAAAAAATGTGATAATGGGAGACATGAGCGAAAGAAAAATCTCCCCACGAAGGGCATTATATAATAAAATGATGCCTTCAGCTTTCTAGAACTTCCAAGTTGGCCACCTTCAAGAGCTTGAATTTTCCAGAGGCGAAGTCTCAGTGATATAAATGAGCCGTACCGTGGTGCCATCGATATGCAGTCCTTCAGGCGCAACACCATCTGGGAAGAACCGGTAGTGAAGTGTTCCGTTAAGAAGGCGTGCATCAAACCGATGTAGAACCACTGGGAAATGTGAATCGATCGGAATCTGAAATGAAGTTATTGATATTATTAACTAAGAAATAGTTACGGTTAGTTCAACGGTGTTAAGCGGTTCCACGCGTATATTTGAATGGGGTGCCAATTAATGGGCGCCACTAAGCTAAAGGCAGATTTAAAGACGAAAAGGCAGCTCTCTGAAAAGTAAGTTAGAGATGGTCAGTGATCCACGAAAAAAGGAAAATTTGAGAAAAATGGCTTAGAACCCGAGAAATGAGACCCCGTCCCTGCCGCTTGATTTGCGCATTGATGCGACTCTCATCGGTGCTGCCCTCTTCACACGACGCTAACGCTCTCTCTCTCTCCTCTCTACATAGATAGCCCAGATATCATCGCACCGAGTGACGCGAAAGAGAGGACTTAATTGGCCATACAACGCCAAAAATGCACGTTTTAGTCCCGTGGCCGCACATTAGAGGTAGCGGGATCGCCGTGATTCGATATTGAGCCACGGCGTCCCGCAAGGGGCGTTCTTTAAAATTCAGAAGCGCAAGAAATTCTATTCGAAGCTCGACCACCAGTATAGAAGAAGCGCAATAGAAAAGCATATGGGAAATCAGAGTCGAGTTGCGCACATGTTTCACAGAAGCTGGGCTGTGAACACAAACTTTTTCGTCCCAGGCGGGACTAGAACTCGCACTTCTCGCTTTCCAGGCAAGTGCGCTACCAGTTACGCCACCGGGGCACCATTTAATTCCAACTCAGCTTTTCATGATCTACGTACCATAGCTCTCAGCACTCACACTTCTGAAGAGTCGAGCCGTAGCCGTATATCGACAGTGGTACCGCGAGATGAAACTTTAGCGTTTGGATTTGCTCAACACGTTAGACGTGTGAGTGCTGAAAGCTATGGTACGTATACCATGAAAAGCTGAGTTGGAATGAAATGGTGCCCCGGTAGCGTAACTGGTAGCGCACTTGCCCGGAAAGCGAGAGGTGCGGGTTCTAGTCCCGCCTGGGGCGAAAGTTTTGTTCACAACCCAGCATTCTTGTGAAACATTCGCAACGCGAACTGCGGCGTTAAAACAGCAGTTAAACAAACAAAACAATCAAGAGTCGATTGTTCCTAAAAAATACTTTGTCACGAATCTCCGTCTCATCGCCGCCGAATGTGCAACCGATATGAACCACGGTGGACCATGGTGAACTATGGAGTTGCCGTGTCGTATCAAATGAGTGTTCACGAAATGGGAGAAAAGGCGGCTTAAGGAATAAAGGGCTAATTTCGTGGCACGAAATCTGAGATCGACACAACTTCATACTTTCTTATACTTTCACTTTCTACTTTTACTTCGCCAATCCATGCTCCAATCCATGCCCTAATGCTGGATTGTTCGTTTATTCACCAGCATGCCCCCTTCCTAGTCCAGACTTTATGCGCTTTCAAATGTCTCCGCGAATCTGAATAGAAGCCCGGTGGGTAAGAGATGCATTTCATGAGTTTTGCCCGCTGTTACTTCACCACATCGTTATTTTCGGTTTAGATTGTGGCACTTACAGCGAGAAAAATGAACTCACATCGATGTCGTAGGTGAGTTGTGGAAAGACAGGATACTTGTCTCGATCGAACATTACCACCACGCGTAGCTGATGATCCGAATGGGCGTTGTCCGACTCTGCTCGAATTGTCAGATGAGTCTCACCGGGAGTAAGATGGTTCGCTACCTGTAAATAATCGCCATGAAGTCTGACCGATCAGTTCTAGGGAGCTGTTGGGACTCACTCGAAGCAGATCTCCATCCATAACAAATTGTGACTCGTTTTCTAGAATCCGGAAATGAACGGGCAGAGCGGAGCTGGTGAACGCGGACGCTCTGAAGCCATACAATAAAGAGGTAGACGAAGAGAAGATTAGCGTAATTACGCGCTGACCTCAGCACGACACTTCCGACGGCTTTCTCGGTGGAGATGTAAATGGTCGACGGCAGTGGAAGGAAGCGTAACGAAGTGTCGCCAACGATTTCGATGTGCAGTATGGCGGATGTCTGTAAAGTCTAAGGACTCCTTTTAGGACCTCCCAAATCGAATAATACTTCTTTTACGTACCTTTCTCTTGAATACCGTACTCTGATCCTCGGCAATCACCAGCAAATCAAACGGTCCATCTTGTGCTGTGAGAGGTGTCAGTGCAGAAACCACTCCTGTCTGAAAGCTGTCTTTTGGCCCCCAATTACCTTTCACGGTAAAATGCACCTCACCTGCTCGTTAATCGAGAATTTACGGTCTTGTGTCAGCTGGTCAGCAGGATACTCAAATCGGTAGGTGATTTGCCCTTCCAAGCCTGGATCTGGATCTCTTGCATGAAGCTCAGCCACTACGGCCCCGGCACGGATGGGCGAATTTAAGTATGACTGTATAGTGTTTGCTGAGAAAGAAGTTGAATCATCTTCATAGACCAAGAATGATGGTGATTGCCAGCCGTCGTGTCTAGCCGATTTATATTTCTACGAACCTCGCTCCCTTCCACACAGCGTTGAAGGAGGCAACGCTGCGTTATATGTCTTCTGCATGTTCTTCTGACGCAATGCCTACGAGCGCTTAAGGGAATGCGTGCTTTGGCCATGCAGTGGTCAGCGTTCAGTTCGAACAATTCGAAAGATTTTACGAATCCCACCCCATTTTAAAGGGCCTAAAGGGCCTCGATACGACTCCAGTCAGGTGAAACTCTTTCACAGCCCATCATCCCCTATCACTCGCCTGCCATGCGTCATTCATGGGCGATTCTATAGTATTTTAATTCTAAGACCCAGGCGACCCACAGCCAGCGCTCGACACTTTTCCTATTTTCGCCCCCTAAATACGACTCCCCCCTCGTTTTTTTTTATTCTAGACTGTTGTCAACGGACGTGGTGACATGATGACATGGCTTCAAGATCGCGAAGGTCGGGAATTATGAGCCCTAAGGCGTAAGCTTTCGCGTGCGGGTGCGAGCCGGCATCCGGGGTGAGGCGACAAGAAGGTCGGCGTTATGTGATGTGTGTTATAAGAATCACCAGTTTGAGTCGATGATTCGCTGGTTTAGAAGAGATAGAAAGCAATCTATAATTGAGTGGAATTCAAGACAAAAAAACAAACTTTTGTGCTGTGAATATCGTGATTCACTTGTCGCGGATGCGACGGTGGCCCGCTGGGCGCACCGCGCGCCCCGGCCCACTTGCGCTCGGTTGCCAACGCGCTCCAGCGCCATTGGCCCCGCCTCCCTGCGGTCGAGGCCAGTTAGTCGGCGCTACGCGCACCGTCCTAGCGGCGGTGCTCGTAGCTGGCCACCGGTGGCAGGTCGGTGTTCACCGGGCAACGCGATGAGGCCAGCTAAGGCGAAGGGGCACGTCGCTCCGTAGTCCATGTTGGCGGAGCGCCTGTCATCCCAAAGCCGGTCGTGTCCTTCCCCCTGCTCCCCGTCTGGGAGCAGCCCTTACAACATCCCAGATAGGACACGTCGGCCGCATGGAGCCCCCAGAAGAAGCCGAGCCAACGTGGGGGTCTAATACGTCGAGTCAGCTGGTGGGGCTCACCTCTGAGAGAGGTGACCCCGGGAGTTCGAGGAGTATGGTGAGTTACTACGTCATAATAAATGTTAGTAAATGTAATTGTGTTTTCTATGTATTATATGTGGGTTTACCCTAATTATATCGGTCTGTTGTGTGTCACTCGGGTTTAGTAGGGCTGTTTACCTAGGTCAGCCCGTCGGCCACTAGTGAGTAGGTTGAGCTGCCGACGGGCGCCCCCTGTGTCCCCGGGGGGAAGTTGGGTCCGCTCCTCCTGGTGGGCGCTCAGGAGGCAGCGTGGTGGGCTGATGGGCAGCTCGGCGGGAGGTCGAGTGTCGGGGAGCAGATACACCGTTCGCGACACCACTTCTTGAGCGGGTCCTGACACGATCCTTACGAGCATCAATTACAGTGACACCCCAACTGATTCTACAACATTTGATTCTGCCACGAAATGACACACTCTGACCCCAGAAAGCGAAGAAACCCCTTTCACCCCTTCAAAAAGCACGATTCCCCCAATTCCTACCATCTTAACGTCCTAACAAGTCCCTAAAGATGACCCCTCAACCAAAATCACAAATACCCTCCCGCTCAGATTTCTACACGGACGGTTCACCGATATTTAGGACGAAATCAAATGCGAAAAATCACCTTGTCAAAAAAGGGTGCGGAAGGATTCGTGCCGTGAACGGCGATGCTTAGCCGAGCGACTGACGTCTGTTTAGGATCTCCATGGTCGAACGCTTCAATGTTAAGGTCGTAATGAGACTCGGTAAGTGCTGCGATGGTCTGCACCACGCCCGTGTGGTAGTCGACACCGAACACTGCTGGAAAGAAAGTTGTCTCATAAGTTGCGCATAATGCGCGGGTGATGAGCACTTACCACTGGGCGGATTAATGGCGTAGTTGACATCGCCATTAATGCCTGAATCGGCGTCGGTAGCCTGCAGAGTGATGACATCGGAACCAACTGGAAGATCGCTTGGGAGGGAAATGTGGAACTGTGAGGCCGAAAATCGGGGAGCGTTATCGTTGACATCAGTGACAATCACGACGACAGAAGTGTAGCCACAGGTGCCCGGATTCACCGAGAGACAGGCACGGATCTGCAAAGGATAGCATTGGAGAGCAGGGACATATCCAGAAGCTGATTGTGAGTGCGACCTCACCTTGAACTCGTAGTTTTTATTGGTCTCATGATCGAGCACAGCTTCACTGGTGATCTCGCCGGATATCTGGTGAACCCGGAACGGAAGCGAAGAAGCGCTGAAGGAGCCAGGGAGAAGCTCGTATTGGAGGGTGACGTCATCGGACGACAACGCCACATGGTAGGCCTTAAGGATCACGTAGAGGTGAAGATGATCAGGAAGGAAAACGTTGGTACGCCCAGAAAAGCCACACTCACTCGAACCACACCAACAACAGACGGTGGTCTGTTTTCTGGAATACTGAATACGTAGCGATTTCTTTCGAACCGTGGAACTCCTTCGGTCCTGCCTTTCCTCGAGTCTAAGCGCACTGTAACGACGGTGTGGGCCTGAATGGGAATGTGTTGAAAGTACCGTTCACAAACCAGCGCATCTACGCGTGCATCGAATAAATAATAAATAAATAAATAAGTAAATAAATAAATAATCAAATAAATAAATAAAATTATAAATAAATAAATAAATAAATGTCGTAAATTTTCTGTATATATGTACGTAGATAGGCTCTCAATGTGTTTCGTAGGCTTTGAGTTAAAAATGTTAGGAGGCTAGAATAACAATTTCGCGGCCATTGTTTTCAAGAGTAAAGGAAGCTTTCACTACAAACTTACGTTTGGCGCCTGAATTAATGGTAGTGAGACACACTTACGCGACGCAATACTCAAAAAAATTCTCCGGGAGATCTGTGATTCACTCGAAGACGAGCATATAGATAGAGGGAAGCGATAATACTGGAGAGCCGAAACGGACGTCGGGCATGTTGTATGTCACAACCAATGATACTCAACATTCCGACGTCCTTATCGGCCTCTCATAAGTATAGCACTTCCGCCACCGGTCTCGTGTTCGCTCCGGCCCATGTATCTGAAGTCCTTGAGCGCTCTGGGTCATTTAGAGGAGGTAGTTGAAGTTATGTAATTTTCCAGGTACAGACACACACACAACCGGTTAACCGTTATGTATAGTAGATATAATATTTTTGAAATTTAATCTATTAGGGACAATCGACCTATTATTTGATGATTACCTTTCGTCCCTAAAAATTACCTTAAACAAAAAAAAAAAAAAAAAAAAAAAAAAAAAAAAAAAAAAAAAAAAAAAAAAAAAAAAAAAAAAATAAAAAAAAAAATAAAAAAATAAATAATAAAAAATAAATAAAATTATAACATTGAACAAACTTCTGTAGATATGTACGTAGATAGGTCCTCAAATTGTTTTGTAGGATTTGAGTGAAAAAAATGTTAGGAGTCTAGAATAACAATTTTGGGACCATTGTTTTTGAGAGTATTTGAGAAAGCTTCACTATGAGCTCGCAAATTGGCGCCCTCAATGAAAATGCAGGGAAAACTTTCGGGCAAGCAAGTATCTCAAAAATTCCTCCGCGGATGGGTGATCACTGGAACACGAGCAACTATATAAGATTATTAATAATATTTTTTGCAAATTTAATCATGTTAGGACACTCGACACTATTATTAGATTATTACCTTCGTTACCTAAAGATTACCTGAAGGCACAACCCAAGGTCAAACTGCTGTAATTTAGCACACGAAAATGAAAACAGGTGTGCGAAGCAGACCAGTAGTGAGGAAAAAAGGGGAAAGAACCTGCCGAAAACACTTCAATTGAGAGCTTCCTCCAGCTTGTGGCTGGATTGCGCCAAGGCCTCTTCTTTTTCCAAGACATGGAGCGCAGAGGAGAGGGGATGGTCGTAGTAAGAGCACAACAAGTAAAAGGGTGCAGACTTCCTTATATATTAGGTTGTCCCATAATTAGTGAATCACTTTGGGTATTTTTGAATTCAAATTTTTTTCTTTTTTATGTGGAGTCTTTGCTCATCCAAACATACATCTCTGTCATCTACAATGTATTGCCTATACAAGGAAATTTAGTTGCTGTCTTATCTCTAGAATTCCAGGAGCTATTGATCGAAGAAAGATCGGAAGTCGAGTTTGAGGTCATGTCACTTAGCGTAAAAGTTTCTTCCTGGAGAAGAGCGCTAGAGGTCAGACTGAGTTGTCTTTTGTTGCACGAGGATAGGGCCACATATAGGAGGTGAAAGAAGTGCTAGCCTGGAAGTCTCCAATTTTTTATGAATATTCTCTGCAAGGTGGGTCGAACGACCTCAGGAAAAAAGCAGACTTTGTCTTGCTTTACTTTCAAATTGAACGCGTCGCCATTACGCTGTAGATGTTGATCTTCTTCAGTGACCCTAGTATTACTGGGCGGCGGTTCCCAGCGTAAGGTCACTCTCGTGCTCATACAATATCTCGGAAGGGTCGGACTCAAAGGGGGTTCGGCTTTTGCTGTCAGAACTCCCGAACCCTTCATGCTAAGCTGCTGCTTTTGGAGATTTGCTAGTACACTCCACCCAGTCCAGAACCCTGATGCATATGCCGGATGATCACTGTAAGGAACTAAGAGATCAGAAGGAACATGATGATGTCAGATCGTGTGTGGAGCTGTTTCGGGCTCACAGCATACAAGATACAAACTAAATATTTTTAAAATCTTTACAACTCTACGTAGATGTCTACATTCCATCATTTTAACAAGTCGGACATGCTCTAGCAAATGGCGACAAGTTTGTCCAGATCCACCCTCAGTGGCGCTGGGTACAGCAGTGAGATTGCCAGTTGAGGGGTAGTTGGAGTGTGGGTCATCTTCAACTCAAAAAGCCAACCTCTCGATAGAGTGAATTACAAGCAGACCGTGGATTGAGGGAGCGTGCCCTCGCCTATCCTGCTGGTTGATTCTCTATGTTGTTGGGCGTTTGAAAGATCCTAATCAGAAGTGATTAAGAAGGGGAGCTCAAAAATAGGTTCCAGAAAAATTGAAGTATCAGCCACGGAAGGCAGCATGTACATGGGCCGAGTAATCGCTCAGGTAGGATAATGTGGATGCTACTTCGCAAAACATGTTTCATGCCTTCACCATTTTTCTTGGATTTTTAATAACAATAAATGTAAAGTGATTCACTAATTATGGGACAACCTAATATTAATCAGAATGAGTCGTATCGAGTCTTTGAAAAGGTCCCTCGTCTTCTTGAGCTTTGGGACAGACACTGCTGACCTTTCGTTACAGCTCTGTTTAAATTACACACTTGCGACAGTTCTCGCTAGTAAGCACCTTGGGTTAGGTCCTTGAAGACTATTTTCGCAATGTAGAAAATTCGGCACGTGGAAATTATGGAGCCTCTTAAGGCTGAAGTGATGGGCCTCACACAGCGGCAGAGAAAGACATGTATGAGTTTTGACAAGAATTTGAGCAAGACCCATTTTCTGAGAAGCAAACCTTGTTCGTAAATGAAATTGGGTAGTCAAAATGATAAAAAGTTACATTTTGGCACATATCAATTCGTGTTCGAAATATGTCACACTGCCCTTCAGTTCAAAACCGTAGTGATATACGCCTATTTCGGAATACTGAGAAGATCATCGAAACGCTTGCGCGCTCACCACAAGTGATGACGGCCAAGAAGAAAGAAAAAGCTTGTCTTTGTTTGTTAACTGCCCGGTAAACAAGAGGTGCGGACTTGAGTCCCGTCTGGGGCGACAGTTTTGTTCATAAACCACCATTTTTATGGAAAAGAAAAGGGGCACTTTTTTTCTTGACCGTCGTCACTTGTACGGTGTGGTCTGCACTCAACTCTCTTCCCATTTTCTGAAATAGAGGGTATGAATGCGGTTGGCCTGCACAATGGCTTGCAGCAGCTAACGGATATGAAAATCATTGATTTTATCCTATCACACAGGTACTAGCAACGAAAAGGGATAACGCCGCTTGGTTTAGCTGAAAGCTTAAAGGAGGAATTCACGATTAGAATGAAGGTCGAAGAAAGGGAAACTGACCTAGTTGAGGGACCCACGGACCTCCTGAGGGTGCGAACTGACGCGCAATTCGCATGGAAAAATTTGACCTCGGCGACCTATCATGCCTCAAAGCTGGCGGGTCCGGCGATCTCCGCCCACCGATCATCTGATCACTCGCCGTAGTTCAATACGTGGCGAGTGATTAGATAGCTGAGAGAGCGTAGTGTTGAAGAGGGCACAGCGATGAGAGTCGCATCAATGCTCGAATCAACGGGCAAGGAAGGGGTACCATTTCTCGGGTTCTGGGCCGTTTCTCATGGTTCTTCCTTCTTTCGTGTACCACTCACCATCCCTAGGTTAATTTGAAATGGGTGTTTTTCATCGTGAATTCGTCTTTAAGCGTTTGTAAAAATGGCCCTAAACGCGTTTTACGTGCGACAAGCTGCTGCAAGCGGCGCGCTTCCAGCTGTGCTACCTTAGCCTAATTATTAAGAAAACATGCACTTGAAGAAAACTTCTTTTGTCAGTTCTGAAACACAAAGGGTACGCATACAAAAGAATATGCGCAGATAAAGATCGTTCATTGTAAAAGAGAAAGCTAAGAGTTCTGTTGCAAGATTTGTGCCCTTTCCCCTTCCTTCACCACGTTCAAAAACTAGTCCTGTTGACGAGTTTACAAGTACTCGCTGTTATCCATATGGAATTACTCGCAAATCAAATCCGGCGTCAAAGATTTCCAACGTGTTTTCAGAATTTTCGCATTCTTCTGGAATGACAAGAAGATCTTCCCATACAGCAAATTTTTTTGAGCTTCTTACGCCCACCCTACACCTAACAGAAAAAGAAATATAATATTATTATTATATGTACACTTGACCAAACAAGGATTGTCACATAGCGCAAACGTTGAGAGGAACTATTCCTTTGCGGGATCCAATTATAGGTTATTTAACACCGATTGGCCGCCGAAAGGCCCAAATCTTTCTAGCGGATGCTGGAGTGTGTTTTCGCGAAGGTGGCCCAGGCTACGTGGAAATGCGGTTCGAACCTGGTCTTTCAATTTTTCACACAACATTGCAAATTTCGATTGGAAACAATCTGTACGCTGTTTTTTAGTAGAAGGGGAAAGGAGGCGAAACCCTCTTAAAATACTCAAGATGCATATTAGGTTTGGCCCAAGACAGCGTGGTAGACATCATCTCCTTCCATTACTCTTCTAACACAGCTCTTTTTTGGAAAATCCTGATCAGAAGGTAAAATTGCGGATCTGGAACGCTTGTAATTTCTTGAACTATCTTTTTAGGTGGACAACTACTCAGTAGAGAAGTGATGGCAGGCATCTTAACCCCCATAAGGAGCTCATTCCCGTGTTTATTGTCGTGGCGCAAGAATAAGCCGATCAAAGTGGATAATCACTCCATTTTCAGAAAAATTCGCATGTTTTCGGGAAGCAAGGTTATTTTAGCCCTGCAAAATGGGCCCAAATTATGCTCTTAAAGCTCTTCAAATACTGGAATGTTTCCATAGCAAACCATGCATATAGTAAAAGGCTAGTTACATCAAAAAGCTGATCTTACAAGTAATAACAACAATAATGGTGCCCCGGTAGCGTAACTGGTAGCGCACTTGCCCGGAAAGCGAGAGGTGCGGGTTCTAGTCCCGCCTGGGGCGAAAGTTTTGTTCACAACCCAGCATTCTTGTGAAACATTCGCAAGGCGAACTGCGGCCAAAAACAGCAGTTAACAAACAAAAACAAGTCAAAATAATAATATAACAATAATAAAATTAATAAGGATAAAATATAAATATAAATATAAAATATTTTAAACATAAAAGCTCACCAAAAGAAGCAGTTCGCATAAATGAATCATGGGCATTCAACTCATCAGATTACCGAATATGATTTAAGGCATGAAGAGCGTCAGTGCCACCTGTTGGTCGCCGCAGTTGTGAGGGTCCGCACCACAGCGGTTGTCTCGTGCCGGGTCTGAGGGTACGCCCCTTTGAAGGGTTTCGGCGTCCCAAATCGAGGACCTAATCGACGACGAAATACGACGGACCTCAAATCCGCCGAGGCAAGACGGTGAAATGACAGTGAGAGTCGGGTCAGATGAAGGATTACGTGAGTTGAAATGGGGCACTAGCGCGACCACAATCCTTGAGGAGTGAACTGAACTGTGTGAAAGTCGTGTTGTTCCGTCAATGAGGCGCCATTGAGCTTCTTTTCATTTCGGACGAGTTAACGTGCCGAGGGAACTGCTCTTCTTTCCGGAGCCACAAAAACCGGTGTACAGCCGGTCTCTAGTGAATTGTGATCGGATCCGGACAGACGATTGACCTCATGGAACCGTAACGCAGAAATTGCGGTGCGACAGGTGATTTTTACGGGAATGGGCCAACGGCAACGAGTCGGCAATTACTCAGCGGCAATCGTCGGCGTGAGCGTTGCCAAGGCACCAGACAAGCGCTAACTGCTCGAGACTTGAACGTTCAACCAAGACGTACGCGCATAAGTACTTCCGATTAAGAATGTTCAAAATTGCTAATGGAAAAGCCGTAAGAAGATAATCTTCACCCACCGTACGTAATCCGTTCGTGGCAGAAACCTCGAATGTGTGATTGCCGTTGCCAAGTTGTTCGGCATTTGGGCCCACCGAGATCTCTCCCATATCTGCATCAACCTTGAACTTACCATTCATCTGAAAAGTGAGTTTACTCAAAAACCTTTCTGAGGACCTCCAACTAATTTCAGCCATTCCTCCTTTACCATTAACTCCTGACGTGGAGTTTATAACGAAAAAGCAGCCCGTTAGAAATCAAGGTGGAGGTGGCAATGAAGCAGAGATGAAGAAAAGACCACGAGAAACGGCCCAAATCCAGAGAGATGGAGCCACTTTCTTGCCAGTCGATGTCCGCTTTGATGCGGCTCTGATCAGGGTGCCCCACCAAAGTTAAGGCCGATGTCAGACTTTGCGAATCGCGCGATTCGCTAGCGTCTGCGGTCGCGTCGCGGCCAGTGAATCACTCAATTGGCGCGGTCGAGTTTTCTTATGACCGCGGGTGCATTCAATTATACGCAACACTGACTGTAAATAGAATGCGCTCCGCTCTTGAAGGCAGATTGTACGATGAACTGTTGGCCGTTGGAAATGTAGGAGAAGAGATGCTAACATGCCCAGTGGAGAAAGCAGAACAGGTTCATCATTTTCCCGGTTACTTTTGCCGGGTGGACGTCTCATGGACGCTGACATCATCAGCTTGGATTTTCCGCTGGAGCAGACAATGAATGGGCGGGAGGCACGAAGGCGCTCACAGGGAGGTCCACTTCGCTGCAAGGCGCATCCTTCACCGGAAGACTCACGTCTGGGGACGCACCCTTCCTTGGTGGGAACATTCACCAGTCTTCATTACCCATTTTATCGTGACACGTGCCTCTGAATTAATCGCTCAAACTCAAGTGACTGATTCTGAATGGACGTACCTTACGGTCAATGCCGTAGAACTGAGTGTTAGGTTGAGCCTCTACTTTGCCTAGAATATCCCCCTCTTGAGGCGTTCCGAACACTTCGTAATAGTAAGACGATTGGACAAAATCGAACGGTTTCTGAAAAGGTTTGTTCTGCTACATGAGCTCTTATAAACAAAAAACACTTGTAAATACCTTGGCATTTTCAGCTACTTCTGTGGCAAGCCGTCGCAACTTCCTCCAGAGCCTTCGTCCGTGTATTCTTCCTCAGTCTCCTCGTAATCCGGAGACGTGCTGGTCGTCTTGACTTCTGTACTCAGTTCCTCTGCGCTTATAAGTGTAGGATGCACATGTTTCACAATTTCGCGCGTTGTAGGAGAAATGGGGCGTCTTGTCGTTGTGAACCTTCGGAGTGGTCGTAGTGCGCGGCCGAGACGTCGTAAATGGTTTTCTGGAGGTGGACGTGCTTGATTTCGGAAATTTGGAGGATAGAATGATTCTTTCGCCTTTGGTAATTCCCTGCAAGAGCAGCGAAGGTTCGACGGTTGCTGAGACCACTCCATTCATCTTCTTTGATTTCATCGTTTTATTAGCTGCCAAATTTACTACGGACTTCGGAACCAGGATGTCGACCGGGATTTCAGAAGACCTGAATGGCACATCTCAGTATTATGCACTATAATTAGCTAACAAAGAAATTAAACAAGCATGGGCCTCCTGCCAGTTGAAGACCCCGTACAACCTCGCCAGTTGCAAGAACGACAAGACAGCCGACTCACCAAAGCCCGGTTCCAACGTTTCATCTGAGTCCAACAACATCTCTTGTGTGACAACCAAAAAAACAAGATCTGGCAGAAAACAGAGATGGGTCGGTAAGAGACAAAGCCCCACAACACACATCCTCCCCGCGAGGTAGTACTCAGTACCCGCGGCTCGCTTTTGCGATCGCTCTCTATCTACAACGTAATTCACGATCTACCCCTCCTCCTTCCCCTTGAGGGGCCTCGGAGAAGGCCCTCTGAATACCACAACGCTCGCGAAACATGCACACAGACCTGCGCTCTCGCGACGCCACACCAAGGCCAGCACCCGGAACCCCCCCACCCACATCATCCTGCACTGCCACACTCTCCAAACCAACAACGACCACTACAATACCAACGCACTCACCCCACCCCACCGCCCTCACACACCGGCCCATGAGCAAGTTACTAATTTCCAACCATCGAGCTGATGAGACACCCTCAAGAACGGAAATCCTTCGTACTGTCGACGCAAATACAGAGCCCAACTGCTTCAGTTTTCTTGAATGAACATAACCTACAACATTAAAGCCTTCTAATTTCGATCTTCGTCCAACCCAAACACACTTTACCACGTCGAAAACCTGCAAGCATCGCGCGCCCCCCCTCACAATCCCATGAACATCCCAAAAATAATGATAGAAAAACCCCCATCTTGCCGCAGCTCCGACAGTGACTTATAGCTCAGAGAAAACAGCTTTCTGTGAACATCAGGAGCGACGACAACTGATTAATGAGAAACTAAATAGAAGCACAGAGGAGCCTATTGGCTAGAACAGATACGTCAGAGAGCTGAAATTAACACAGTCGAGCAGCACACAACTCCACACACGACATTTACGCATCCCCCGAAACGCACACTCCTGATTCGAGGCCACTCATCAAAAAATTAGAGATCTTCAGTAGACTGAAGGAAACCAGCAGCCCCTTCAGCCACTGGTAGTTGGCTATACCCTAACTATAGATCGCTTTTATGTAACTAAAGCTGTTGTGCCTCGAAAAGGAACGACCTTAGACCTTTGCAGACATCAGTCTCCACAAGGAAACTCAATGCAAACGGTGGGGACACGGTTCGTTCGCCGTCACAGAGAAGCCTTCAACAACGACAATGAAAAGTACTTTGTCGAACGTATATACTAAACCATGCGAAATCCGATGTCGCTACAGATATTTTCACCGTCTTTCAGGCCCACTTTGGACGAATGCTCGAAAAGGACTTGAGGTGTCTCCAGAAGAGACTTGAACGAGGACTTGGTCGCTCAGGACATACAAACGCCAGCTCGGAAACTGAGACTTTCCGGCGAGAAAATATTCCTGTGTTAGAAATTGTACTTGTACGTTCCTTAGCTAGCTGTCGTACTCAACTTACATGTAAACCGCTACTATACTTCGTCGATATCCCTGGCCCGAACGACCCCAACAATTCCTTCCGGAGGAAATTCTTCTGACAGCAGAAAAATGTATCTGAATTATGTGAATGTGAGCTGTGCCATTTATATCCGATCTTTGCTATTCGGGCGTATATTTATGTCACCGTGCCGGCTAGGGGAGTAATGACAAAACATTTGCCTTTGCGAAGTGCATGCAGAGAATCTCGCTGCCGTACTCAGTCTTCCAGGACTGGATCTAGGTAGGTATCCTTTTATGGAGCCACCCTGTGGTGAATCAAGCAATGGGAACAAACACGCATATAAAAAGCACTAGTTGGCATGTTGGGTGGATCACGCAGAGGTAAGCAAACCAGCCCTTTTGGCGTTTCGGCTGGGACCGTATGCTGAATGTTGGGGAGGGGATGGGGTCCCCAACGGTCGACGGTTTACTTCAACTCGGTTGGTACGATAGGAGAGTACTGACGCAAGTGGTGCAGCTGGTCCAGCAGCTCCGCCAGAAGGGCTGGTTTGCTCACCCCAGGACTAAGCCTTGGAGAGGGGACGGACCCGTCCTCTCTTAAGGCTTAGTTCTGAGGTAAGCACCAAATTGTGGCGGTTCTAAGGACCGAGTTGAAGTGGTCCGTCCACCGTCGGGGACTCCATCCCCTCCCCAACATTCAGCATACGGTCCCAGCCGAAGCGCCAAAAGGGCTGGTTTGCTTACGTCTCGATCAACGCATGCGTGGCGCATACAGAAATTGGTTGGCGCGATTTAACTCCCCATAGCTATACATCGCTTTTTAAGCCATAGCGAGCCAGGTGAATGAAGCAGGTGCTCGGTAAGGAGTCAGCCGCCGCTTTCGCACTTCTCCAAAAAATTTTGCCGTTGGCACCGCCCATTTCGGCGCACGCCCGCCCACTGTGGGCGAAGCTCCGCCCAGCTGATGTGTGTTTTGTACTTCTTGACCCATGCCCACCCATCCCAAACTTGACCCGGACCCTGTAGGTTGTTGTTCAGGTAATACCGAATTTCGTGACAGACGAAGAAATGGACAGACTGACAAACAGGCAGACTTAGCGCATTATATGTACTAGGGATTGCTGGCTTGCCCCCCCCCTCTATTTTATTATAGAGGGATATTCAATGAGAAGACCACACTTATTCTGAGCACAAGCCCGACAAGCATTAAAAATGCAAACTTTTAGAAATTCACATACTTCTCCTTCTCGAAGGTAGGACGATTGTCGTTTTGGTCGAGTAATTCCACATTGACGCGAACTCGAGCGCATTTTGTCAGATGAGATGAACCCTTCAAAAATTGAATGTGAAGATATCACAAATCGGAGAATAACCCGAGAACTGACATGAATTTCAGCAACGAGTTCGAGGTTGGTGAATAATTCTCGATCCATGATCCGGTTATCGCGAATAACCACTTCGCCAGTTTTTTGTCGAATCTCAAAGGTCCCATCAGGATCCACCATATCAATCAATGTCCACTAAAAAAGTACGAACTCATACTTTGCGTTCTTCCAGGAAAAAAAACGAAACCCACCTTCTTCCTGTTCAGCACCTTCAGAGTGGTGACCAACGTGCCGACTTCACTATTCTCTGGCATTGATACACTAATAGCGCACTTCTCGAAACGAGTCGAGGACTCGTTGTGGCGAGAACTTTCTGAGGTTATTATCGGAAGCCTTGTACGAGGTCTCGGAGAAGCTCGAGGAAGCTGAGATCCCACCAACGGATGGTGGGGTTCCACCAGAGGGCTGAGCTCCTCGGATAATGGCAACCTGTTCTGCTTCAAGGCGTCGTCTTCTGGCTCCACGGAGATCGGTAGCGCACGAGACTTCTGGAAAACCGCGGATTGTAATTCGGATTTTGTGAAAATACCCGAATCGGAACCGGGTCGCATGACTCTTGGTATTAGGAGCTATAATAAGTACAAAGGAAGCATTCTAGGTGGTCTTGACCATTTAAATAGAAATGTTACCCTAGATGTGCCTTCAAGCGCTGATCTATGTTCTCCTTTCCAAATCTGCTAAACGTTTCCCAATGAAGTTCTAAAGGCCGAAAAGCTCATCGGTGGATGGTCCGGGCTCCTACGTAAGAGCCGTGCAAGTGTAAAGCGCTTACCTTATTTCCCTCAGAATCCCCGTGCTTGCCCTACAATATGCGAAAACCCTCCGAATTATCAATGCATTTCTCTTTTGACTCACCTGAATCAACGACGAGTGAGCTTTGGCTCGTTTTTTCTCTGTCCGTGTCTTTCCATGCAGATGAATCAACGTTTCGGAAGCACTGTCCTGACTATTCTGAAACACTGCTTATCAGTCTCGAAAGTGGCAAATGTATGATATTCCTCGGTCAAGTGTGCAGGGCTAAATCAGACTTCAAGTAGCGAATGTAATGATATCCCTCGTTCAAGAATGCAGGGCTCTTGTGGCTATCCCACAACGTGCACTGCCCGCTCGCCATACACCCATTTCACTGTCCTCCACCCTCGTTTAGATCAACAATTTCCAGATCAAATCGCAGGATTAAAAGCGATGATAATGAAATTATGGATGCCGAGTTGGCTGACCGCAAAGGGAACAAAAAGAAAAAAAGCCGCCACTGAAATCCTTAAAGGCAAAGTTCGGCTCAGACCCACCTAAGAAGCCCTTACCATGGCTAGAAGTGCTGGTACGCAAGTGCAAAGGTAGCGCCACCTTTCTACATCGAAAAGCGTCACTAGGACCCTAGGCGCCATGGACTTCTAACAGACTCCACCAAACTTAACATGGTCCGCCCACCGTTCGATATCTTGTCTGCGTCGCCACGTTGATCTGCTATGCTCTCTCTTCTCGGACTTCTCTACCACTCTCCGCGCTCACATTATCTCTCATCTCCCTGCCTGTCTTTTGAACTTCTCCACAGCATGGAGCAAAATGCTCGTATTTCCTGTGTATTTCAGGATTTTCTTTCCTTTTTTCTCCACTGGCGGTCCACCTTCCATCCCTACTTTCACATTTGAGTGGAATCACCCCATCAACAATTCTAATCCTGAATTCTTGCCTTCTAAGTAAGAATCCCTCTGTTTCCTCTTGAAGTGAAGGAAGGGTAGTGAATTGCTGCTCGTCCCAGCAAAAATGTGCAATCGAGTATCACAATTTCAAACTGAGCCAAAAATCCTACATCAGTGTAAACAAAGAAATACAGTAATTAGATGAGCCAAGCAAATAAATCCAATCAAAAGAGGCAGCATTAATTTCGAATTGCGGGGCAGTTACACGCAATCGTGCAAGGACCCGCATCGAAATACGCGATCTCCACGGCAGATCTGCCGCTACGCCCAGTTTGAAGGCGTTCAACTCCCTTTCCGCAGCTTTCGAAAGTGAGTTTTTTGTTCAGTCACACTTCATATGTTCTTGACTAGGGCTAGCGCATCTTTCACCCCATTAGAATCGAAGGTAAGAACCCAGCTGGGACTGTTGCTTCGAAGCTATTTCCACGTCTGCAGCGGCTCCCATCATGAACGCAAGCCTTAAAGGCAGCGATTACGATAAATTCAAGAAGGGTTTAGTGTGACGTGGTGGTGCTCAATGGTACGCCAGTAGCGAAAAAGCAGAAAAAATCCGTCAAGAAAACGCAAAACGGGACCCCTTTTTTGGCCGTTGGTTTTCACTCATGAACAGGTAACAGCTCAGAAAGCGGACGTATGAACGAGTTCACCGCAACGCGTTTGGTGGCACCATGCCAAACCACGCTCCAATCGAGTTGCTCCAGTTGTGCCGCTGCTGGCAACGCAGCTCGTCCAAATCACCAACTAAACTAGTGGGCGGAGCGCTTTCGAAGTCCTGCTCAGCAACCAGCGCACCTTTCGTCGTGAAAGCGCCACACCTCGCTTCCCTGGCAGCCAAGTAACTGATTCGTGTGGTGCGCAACAAGATTATAAGTTCAGGAACATAGGGTGTATACCGTAACCTTCTCGACGTTGCACTGGGGCGCGCATTCTCACGTGTCATCGATTTTCTCGTCTTCTCTGCACCCTCTCAACGAAGAGAGAATGCGTCGAGCAGGCCCGCGCAGAGTACTAAGCGCCGTTTATGTAGAAGGTGGAGGACACAACGCAAGCGGCTGTCGCCGCACCTCGCTTTACCGTAACCGCTTCCTTTAACCAACGAACGCAAACGCGACAAGCGTAAATGTGCGCAACGTCGCACAATAACCTCCTGCTCACACCTCCTTCTATCCATTTTGAAACACTGTAGCTGAAGTTTTCGTAGCCAAGACCTAGCCACTTGACCAATGATCCAATAGAGTTATTTACCTCAG